ATTTTAGAGTTTTGGATTTTCGCAAAACACCGATAACAGCTGGTAGACGGTTTCATTTATTTGATGATATCCTGCTTAATGATAAAAATAAAATTATAAGAGGTGTGGATCATAACGGTTCTATCCCATATCTTTTTTTAAATAATAATTTATGTTTTATTTATAGAAAAACTCAACGGCAGCTATTGTTTCAAATTTTACAAAGGAGAGACGAAAAATAATGTATTAGAGTCGAGTACAATTTGCACAGACCAGAGAGGCTTTATTGAAGGAGCTATGTTAATGTGGCTACCATTTCCGTTAGGAATAATTAAAAATCCCTGGCATCCAAAATTTTGGAGTGAAGTTAAAGAAAATTGCGACGGACATCAATTGTATTTTTTTAAAAAAAATTATATATATTCATTGAATATGGTTCAGATGGAGGAGATTTACAACAGTTAATCTATCTAAATTTATATTCGTATAAAAACAAGGGGAAGGGGGGGGGGGGGGCATAATTTTATTAAATACCATTTTTGATATATCTTAACCCTAATTCCCATATCTCTCACATATTTCTAGCCTTTAAATCCTATTCCTTATTTTGGATTAGTGTCGCTAAATGGCTCGTTTTATGCCGATTTTTAGAAACGGCTAACTCAATATTTTATATAGGAAAGTTTTATGGAAGCGGTAACATTTTGTTCATAGATGACACATTTGGACATCTATTAACGAAATCTAGAGCCTTAGATAAAAATTTTCTGGCTAAAATATTTAGTTAGCCTTTTTTTTAAAAATCGGCTCGAATCGAGCCGTTTAACATACCTAGGATACTTGCTAAATTTTAAGTATGTCCCATCCAATTAAAAAATTCTCTCTAGGTGAACTATCTATTATCATATTCAATATGCTAATTCAATAAAATATTGCAGCCATTATATTCCTCGGGTCATATAGCTTTAAAATTAAAGTAACTCTAGCCTCTAAAACATTATAATATAATACAATTCTTAAAAGGTTTGTAAACCAAATAATTTTGTTGGAATCTATAAAAAAAAAGCTATTAGAGCAATAATATGATTTGTTAAAAAATATTTCCAAATATGTTAAAAAACATTACAATATAATTATTTTGCTTTCCTTAATTATTCTATAAACTTGTTGAGAAAAACATATCCTATTTTAAAAAACTTTAAAAACTTGAAATGTTGATAAATTATTTTTAAAAACTTCCGGTAATTTGTTACAATTTAAATTAAAACTTCTAATAATTCTTTTTAAAATTTGCTACAATTTTAATTTTAGACTTCTAACATTTTTTTTAAGGATTATAAAAACTATATTTCTAGTATTTTTTATATGTCAAATTTTACTATTGCCAGTATTTTGAATCTATCTCCGATTTCAGGTTCGTTAATATAATATTCGATTATTTACTAACTTTATATATATAATTTTAGATACACCTAAGGAAATTTCATATTCTCTCGGGAGGTTATCTGAAATATCAAATAGATACCAAAGTTACTCACCTATCCTATCAAATTTCCTTAGATGTCTAATTGGCATCACAAACCGATGTTAATTTTGTAATATTCACTAGCTACCGAATTTTGATCCCATATGTTTGCGAAAAAATAGTAATTGGGGCGATGTAAAAATGGAATTGGCTAAAAAATAACTAAGCAAACCAATTCAATTGCCCAAAAATTTTTCCATTGGTTCAGTTTATTGTTTCAAGCGGGAAACTTTCCCTGGATATTATGACGATTCTTTATCTGATTACATAATAAAACAAGAGGTCAGAAGAAAAGACAACATAAAACTTCAATCGAATATAGCTGAATTGTTTGGTAATAATAACCGGTTATACCATTAAAAACATAATAGAACACCTACCACATCTAAGGGAGTGTGAGCTCGATTATATCAAAATGTATTAAATCAATGGGTTGGAGCGGGTAAAGGGTTGGAAAGAATCAGATAGGAGAAACGCTCCAGATATAATTCAAATTCGAAATGTGACAAGATGTAAAATATTTCTTTTGAAAATGTATTTTTTCTGGACGAGATGTTATTTCGCATTATGGGTGGGCACCCTTGGGAAAAAGGTCATCTGTTAAGTTAAAGGAAAAAAATATATCAGTCCTATGCACAATAAGAATAAGTGGATTGAAAAAATTCACAAATATAAATAAGGCCTTCACTGCCGTTAAATTCAAAATATACCTGGATGAATTATATACTATTTTACCATCGAATTCATTGTTAATATGGATAATGCTCCTATTCATCGAGTGAGGCTGATTAGTGAAAATTATCCAAATATCATATTTTTATCACCCTATTAGACACAATTATGTCCGATAGAAATTTTTTCGAAATTCTTAAAAATCAATACCGATCAAATTATCCTTAATCAATAGTAGTTATTGCTATTGTTAAGCGTATTTTGAGCATTTATTTTACAATAATTTTTCAAATTTTTATTATAACACCCCAAAATTCATTGTAGATGGATGAATTCCTGATTGAATTTATAATTGATTTGTATTGTATAATATATACATAGAATGAATAAATAACAAATGGTTTTTTTTAAATTTTGGAGTCTCGAATTGATCATAAAAAAAATCTAAACAAATAAGAATGAACTGAAAACCTTAAATTCTAATTTTCATTCATGTTTAATAAGAAATTATTCTAATTTCATATCCTGTTTTCCAATCCTTAATAACTAAAAGTAAAATATTGGAGTTATACTTTAAATTTTTAAAAAATTTATAATGTATTTTTTAAAAAAAGTTATTGTAAAAATCTTAGAAATTTTTTTTTAAAATTCTCATTTCTCCACTTAAACTTGTGTCCAAAATATTTTTAAAATAAAACTATATTCGAATTTATTCACATTTTGCAAATTTTTCACAACCTTTAACATTAGTTTTCATTAAAGTTTTAAAACTTTTTTTATAAATAATTATATCAAAATGTTTCTTTCTAACAATAATTATGGAATTTAATCATATAAGAATGTTTTTTTTCTTCACATTATGGAAATGTGTTACAACAAAATCATATTATTATTGTAGGTTTCGACTTCGAGTAAAGCATTTTTTTCTAATTTATTTAAGAAATTAATCAAATATATTTTCAGGTAATATTTTTTAAAAAAATTTAATATAAAAGGGAATTTTCTTATATTTATATATTTTTAACTCTGGATCTATAAATTTTCTAGTAAATATTTTATTTCCCCTCGCCATTTTCCTTCTTTGTATTTATCATTAACTAATTTGTAGGTCAATATCCAATCCTTTTCCGACCCTAAAATCACAATATTTCTAAAAAAATCTTAAATTTACTATTTTAAGTACCTTATATAAAGTAATCTTAAAAATAAACGATATTGTAAAACGATATATAATAGAATCATAATTTATTGATATTGAATATCACTGATTAAATTTAAATTTTAGCATAAAAAAATATTTCCAAGCCCGACCCACCCGGAAATAAAAAATAATCATAATTCATGACTCCTCCGTCAAGTCGGTGGGGTAGGTTAGGGTTTTTAGACCTCTAATTGTGAGCATTTCAATGATGTGACCATATTGATCACCAAACGATCTAACACTCATAGATTTTTTAATTGTATAAATACAAGGATTTTTTTGTTTAAAAAAAGCTATATATTGATTATTGATAAAGGTACGATATATCGAACGAATATTGTTCAAAAAACTTAGAACTGATAATTGAACAAAATGAAGACGGGCTATACGAAAGAAGTCAAACAACGATTTTATTGGATATCATTGATATCGCTATTTATGACTTTCTATTGGATAACATCGATCGTAGCAGTTTCGAATATATGGAAACTCAGGAAACGCTTGACGACATTCCGTTTTCGTTAATCATGATAGATTCTGGAAATTGGTTGGTGTACTGTATTCAATTTCAAAAAATATATATGTTATATGAGTTATGCCATTGAATCTATTTTTTTTAGATCCATATTTTAAAAGATTTAAATCCTATCCGAATTCTAATTTTAGGAATAGATTCGAGGCAGATTCGGAAAAAAATAAAATTAGACTAAAAAGAGAAGTATATTGTTTTTTCTGTAAAAGGCGGAAAAATCATAAACACTATATAGGAAAAAAAAGATAGATTTCCTTTTTTAAGGGGCCTCTAAAATTTTATAAAACCTTGAAATCGCTGCCTCTGGAATTAAAAAAAAATCCAATTTTATCTATTATATAATTAATGGATCAAGTAAACTTTCTGAACCCTCCTACTCGATAAATTTAAAACACATTACTAAATTAAATACCATTATGATATACCTCATTTTTATATTTATTTTTTTTCAGTTTTCCAGATCCAAATGTAGATACTTTCACAACATTGGCCCCATTATATCAATGCTGCAAGTATATAATCGTGTTATGTTATAGATAAGTTAATTTTTTTTATGAGACTTTTAAAATATGAAAATTATTTCTATATATTTTATATAATTATTTCTATATATTTTATATATTTCAACCCTATTTTTCCACCAGGCTTCGCCGATCAACTTACGAAAGATTAAAACTCTTACAAAATGGTCAATTTGTGAGTGCATTCAACCTATCCTTAAGTGCGGATATGTTACATCCTTTCCTAATAGAACCTCATTGGATTGCTTTAAATAGGAGGTATAACGCGGTGATGTCTGTCATTCAGGATTGGTGCTTTATTAAATTCGAAAAAGCTAACGTATTGTCTTGAGAAATGCACAAATTCAATAGAATTATAAAGCTTAAAGTGGGAACATCTCTTAAAAAAAATTAGTAATGTGTTTCAATACCCTTTTTATGATGAGACGCAAACAAATAAAAGAAATATGATTATTTTTCAGCTTTGAGATATATATAATTTTTAAGTATAAGTCATAATTAAATTACTACAATGTACACCAGAGAGGGAAAAAAACCTATATGAATAATATATACATTATCAATTTTATATATATATTAATATTTTAAAAAAAAAAAAAATTACAAATAATTAATTGTATTGATTTGTACATTGTATATAATATCTAATATGTATAATAATTTAATTATGTTGGATTGGCAAGACATATAAAATGTCTAAAAGTAAATAATTCATAAACAATGGGGAGGGGGTCATTTGCACGATTTTTAATATATATATTTAGTCACCTAAAAATATAAGTGTGCTTTAAAATAAATATATATATATTACTACTACTAAAAATAATAAAATAATTTTATGATTTTTATAAATTGCAATATAATTATACTATGATTTTTTTTTAAAGTTTATATTTGCATTTGAAAATTTTTAAAAAAAGAGAAGATTAAAAATGATCTTTTTTTAGTCAAGATTACTATACATGTTTTGCAGTTGAGGCTTAAAAAACCTGGCTAATGATCCCCTTTTAGCTTTCATAGTGGGAGTTAAAAGATTATTTTCAACGGAAAACATGTCAGGATTTAAGTGTATGTCTTTAATCTTTTTTTTTATAAAAATAAACATATGAATAAATGATCAATTTTATTTGTAGATTTTATCAAATTTGAGGAATATTATTATATTTTTTGAGGTTAAATTTGAATTTTAAAAGATGAAGGAGATAGAAAACATACAAATAATTTCGTAACATATAAAAAAAATCAAATCGTAAAATGAATTATAAAAAAATAATAATCTCTTCATCCTGCGGCATAAGTGTAGTTTTGGAAATTTAGTCTACTTTCGTAAATATTACAAAACTATGATTATAATTGTAAATTTCGACTTAAAAAAAACATTTTAATAAGAAAAGAAAGCGAAAACCCAAAAATTATTATTTTTTAAACAATATAACTCGGCCAAAGGCCTGTAATAAGTGAACTAACGATGTGTGTGTATATATACTATTAGAATGGCGATTCGTTAATTAAAGGTGTCCATAAATAGAAGTCCGCCGTAGCGCCATTTTGTGGTTTTCACTTCGACTAATTGTCTTTATTTATCATTATATGAATGGACATATTAATATCATATAACCAAAGTGCAAGTCACTAAATGACTCTACAGCTGATGTTGTGAATAGTCAATCTAGTAGTATATATGTTAGCGCCAATCTGTTTTTACCGGCAAGGTATTATTTTTACAACTTTAAATCATTTTTTGAGCGAGATTTTTTTAAATTTAAAAATCGGATTTTACTGGAAATATATACTATCATGTTTGGAATATCTATCTTATAAATTGTAGACAATTTTTTTGTTAGACTTTGAATAAGGTTCACGGAAAATTCATAGGGTAGGTAATCCAAACATGATAGAATATACTCCGGTAAAATCAAATTTTTTTAAGTTTAAAAAAAAATGCGCTCAAAAAATGATTTTAAAGTTGAAAAAAATATAACATTGCCGGAAAAAAAGAAGCTAAAATATACATATCAATGAAGTGACCTAAAGCCCTCCATCCATAATATAAGCCACAACTTAGCGAAATCTGACACTGAGATGTTAACCAATAATAAATTAGAAAATAAACCTGCTCAAATCCCTGAAGTCCTTGTTTCTTGCCAGTTTCCTTCATATCGTCCAAAATTAGTTGTTTGACGACTTGGTCCTTGCATATCTCGGCCCAAATTTTGCGCGTTCCGCCGCATAAATCTGAGCCCGAAACGGTAAAATGTTTGCCAAGACTGTCAGCCATTTCTTTTAAATGAGGGTGGTTAATTTGTTTGCTGGCCCAAGTGAGGACGGTGTGTTCGTTGGGAACCACGACGGCTATAAGGCAGGACTGGAATATAACGTGTAGAAAAACAAAGTATTATCTAGTATTTCTAACATCTAAAATATCATCCACATGAAAAATATTTTTTCTTGCATTGCCATAAGGAACCATGAATAGCAATGCAATTACTTTGATGAATAGCCATCGTAATGGCTTCTTTGAAATAGAAGGCTTCAAAGCGATCACCATTTAAAAAAAAATTATTTTCAAAAAAAGTGGTCACTTTAACAAGTGCAATTGTGATATCCCGCCTTCTTATCTCAATAAAATTTAGCTAAGAATTTTTCTAGCCAGAATTAGAAAAATTAATGTTATCAATACATTTTTCCAAAGGATAAATTACAAAAAATTTAGTAAACTCATTCGCGGTAGATTAAATTATTATAATTCAGAAAATTTGGTGAGAAAAAAAAAATAATTTTCTTAGAGGCAAGGGATGGACTAGTATATAAAACTAGAAAACATTGTTAAAGATTTATAAATTTGTTAATTATGCGTGTCCGAGCGATATTTACTTTTATACTTTCCCCATAAACGAATATCTGAGCTACGTAATGGCTGTGGGCATATATACCTTCGATCCTTTCCGGAGCAACGAATTCTCCCTGAGATAATTTGAATATATTTTTCTTGCGATCAATTATAGATAATGTGCCATTCTATATTTATTTTTTTACATATAAAGATTATATGGATTAATAAAATCGTGTTTGTTGGAATATTATTTCAAGAAAAGTTCTTAATTTACTTCTTTTTTTTTAAAAAAAAATGTCCAAAAATGTAAACAATATTATAGATCGCGTATAGCTGCGCTCATTCTGTTTCACAATAGAGTACGACTGGTTGACGTATCGCATTTGAGGGAAAAATAATTGGTAAGTTATTATGAGAGGAACATTAATAGATATTACATAAATTTCTAGACTTTGCATTAAGATGGTGGTCTTAAATATATTAAAGTGCTGAATGTTTTTTAGGAGCAGGATTTTTCCGCTAATATTGAGTCTCCTATGAACTCCTCTTTTTAGGCTATATGTAAAAAAATAACCCGCTCCTATAAACCATTCACCACTTATGGTATACCTAGACCCAAAAATTATTTATAAGCAAGATCCAGAAGTTTATGTAATATTTATCGAGACCATAGATCCACCTCACATTTAAGATTACTGTTAGGCGATATGCCAACGAGTCGTTACTCTCCGTGAAACAGATAGAGGAAGCGAGCGCAGCGATCCATGGATTTCATATAATTATTATTAAGAGAAAGAAGAAAAAAAAATTTGTATTCCCTTAATAACTGTAACAATATAAATTGGTGTAATTAAAACCTTATTTAAATATTAACCTAACATTCCATTTGTTTAATGCAATTTTTTTTATAGTAGATTAGTTTAAGCATAATATATTTTAGTAATACTTACGGGTAACCATTTGCCAATGTCTCCGGTATGAAGCCACCCATCTTTGTCAATGGTCTGTGCCGTTAATTCGGGTTCTTTGTAATAACCTTGAGAGACGTTTGGACCCTTGACACAAATCTTTTATATAATTAGAAAATTCGAAGAATTAAGTATTATGCAGGACCGAAATTGTATAAAAGAAATGAAGTAAAGTCAAATAATTTTACCGATGAGGAAGGCCATATTTGTTAAAATTAAAATTTATGCCTTTGCCTTAAATGGTATCTGAAGTTGAGGTTCGCGGAAGGCAAATTTTTAACCCGAATGATCTATTTAAAATATTTTTTTAACCAGCCCTTTCGATAGTTTTTATGTAATCATATATCTTTGGCATGAATGGAAACGGAACGTGACCATTCCTTTATTTAGGGCCCATGATTTTTACATACTTTATTATAGAATAATCATAAATCCATCATGTTAATTTCGTTGGGAAAAATACTAAAATATATGCAAGCACCCGTCCACCCAATGTTCAAATTTTTTTAAACTAAGAATATTGAAAACCCTTTAATCTAAAGGTCAAACAGGCAGGTTTAGACCGTTCCAAAAGGCAAATTGTTTTTAAGGTGGTTGGCAGTCGAGTTTTTGTTTTGAAAACATATAGTTTGACCCGTTTATGGCAAAATCTTGAGGCTCAGATAATATATGTTTGTCTGAAATCTTGAAATAGAGGTTTTTGACACTTGTGGTGGGGTCAAAACCGATCCTCAGACCAGTTAATAATTTTAAATAAATTACCGTTAGAAAGTAAAGTTCCCATTTATTTTATAACCTTAAAGAAAAAAAGTTCATTATATTTCCTTTCACGTCGCTTTACCAAGTATAATTTATGATAAATAAATATCCTTTACAGATAAATCCTTTTTTAAAAATAAATTGTTTTAAAAAAAACATAATCATTAGAAATGGAATCATTATCATATAAAAAAAAATAACCTCGCCTTTCCCGTTGAGCCCATATTCGTAGCCCATATCGGGCACGTCACACATCTTTATTTTGTTGCATGGCAGGGGAGGGCCGACCGAACTTCCCTTAAAATCGCCGGGCACTTGAAGTGTGCACACGCCCCCGCATTCAGTCTGCCCATATCCTTCTAGGATAACGCAGTTACCCAACACACAACGCGCGAAGGTCATGACTTGCGGACTCAACGGAGCTGACCCAACGGCTATGAAGCGTACGGCACCACCCAGCTCCGCCCGGATCGGCGCAAATACAGCGTCCCAGGGACTCGAGTCACGAATTATACCCCTATAGATTTTACGAATTATAAATATATAAGTAAGCTCCTGATCCCCCTTTTTACTAAAAAAACGCTGTTCTTCTACGAACGATAAGATATACCATATATACGTATTATACTCAGAAAAATATTTTTATAATAATAATCACGTCAAGAGGAGAACCGCTAGTCAGCACTTTAACCCAAACGGATAATATATAAGATTTACAACATTTTAAATTAATTTTTTTTAAATTTTTTGTAAATATTTTTTTTAATATTTTTTTTATCATATAAAGATGTTTTTAATATAAAATGAAACCTTTTTATTTCTTCTTCTTTGGCTTTAAGGGCTACCTTAAATATCATGCTCTTTATCCAACTCTTTCTGAGAGATTCTGTAACTTTATCATGCATCTTATTGAGCATTCTTGGAACGGTAGGAAATAATGTTGGTTTGAGAATTTTCATGTCCTGAGATAAATTCCTAATGTGACCAGAAAAGAAGCCTATTCTTCCTCCGTGCATTATTACGTTCATCTTGAAAGGAATATGATTTATTTTTATTTCAAAATTAAATTTAAAGTAGAGATCTGCAAAAGTAGGCTCAGCCCGAACGGCTTCGGGCTTAATATTTTAAAAAAAATTCGGGCCGGCTAAGGAGGGCTTTGGAAATTTTTTTTAAAATATCTAAATTTATCAATTTTATGTTGAATTTTTAATGTAAAATAAAAATATTTGACTTTATTTATAGAAAATAGATGCCATATAACATAAATCATTTATTTTGAGTAATTATAAAAATTAATTTCTATATTTAAATATTTTAAAAATTATTTCGGGTTCTGGTCGGGCCTTCAAAATATTTTAAAAAAATTTCGGGCCGGGCTTGAAAAATTAGACCCGATGCAGAACACTAATTTGAAGCCCCCTCTTTTAAGTATAAGTTTTTTTTAACATTTATGGAGTTCTGCGGGTTAAAAAAAAATAATAAAGTAATATAAGTGAATATAATGTTGAATGTTTTTTTTTAAAAAAAAATTACCTCAACTACCCTCTCTAACATGTGAGCCAAAGGCAGGAAAGATATATTAACAGTGTTGGGGTTGAGCATGTTATCCTAAAATAATAATTTTTTAAAAAATCATGTCTTTTTATATTATTCAAAAAATTTGGTGGAATAAACAAATATGGGTTGGTTAAATGTGCCTATCTCTTTGAAGTTTGACATCAACAAAAAGCAAATTCAAAAGTGGAAATTTTTTCGAAAATAGAATCTTACTTTTTCTTAGAAAGAAATACGGCATTAAAATTGTCAAATTCCTATTCCATTCTACAAATCTAGTTGTGGAATATTGAATTTTATTCAAACATCCAAATAATAAACAAAATGTTGATTTTTTTAAAAAAAATTACGAAATGACATATGAGCCCGGCGCACATAGAAAGCAAATTTTTGTGAGTCAGCATAACTCCTTTAGGGTTGCCTGTAGTACCACTGGTATAGCACACGCTACACAAATCATCCGGCTTGGGGGACTTTTTAAAATAATAATATCGATGAATTTTATGAGTTGACTATAATATAAATCGATTTAATTAAAATCGCAATCATAATTTTTTTTTTAATCTACTAAATTTTCTAATTAAAATCATGAATTGTTTGATTAAAATCGATATTAAAAAAATCGCGTTATTGCCGTAATAAAAAGATAATAATGTAAAAAAATGTTACCACTGGCGTTTTAGGGTTCTTACGACCATCCTCCTAAAATTTTATAAAAATGATTATAATATTCAATGTGTGCATGAGATGAAATATAATATATAATTTTATGTTAAATATCGCTCATTTATTTTCAAATTCAACCTGTATAAGTTTTAAAAATGAAAATAAAAAGTATACTGAGGTGATACTTTATAAAGTTTTAAATTACATTTTTACAAAGATAAAAAACAAAACAGGTTAATAAATAAAATATTAAAACATATAAAACAAAATTCTTATTAGTCGTTCAGTTCAGTGGCTTTTTCTCTCCAGGTTGGGTAAAGTATTTTCCTTTCTAATCCCCTTTCTTCATTTCTCACGACCTCTAAGTTTTAAGATCATTCATTCCAAAACCTGGACTAAAAATGGTTTCTAGTTCTTAAAATTATGAAAAGTGGATGACAGATTCCGGTCCTTAAAATTTAAAGCGGTTTCCAAGAATGTCAAAAAATTAATCTCGAACAAATAAATAAAGCTTTTAATAAAATGAATCCCATAACATTTCTAAACAATATATATCAAGACCTACGCGCCCGGTCCGAAAAATGACATGATCTCAAAAATCAGGGCTAGACCTAAAAATTAAAATCCGGGCTGTAAACCGGACCAAAGATGGGGGTAATAATTAAATCCGACCGGTTCCGGAAAAATACTTTTTTTCTTCTAATATCCGGGAACGGATTAAAAAATTTGGGCCACGGGTATATCTGATATACATATATAAATTACTCGCACTTCTGTTTGAACCAGTTTCCGATAATTTGAAGAAAAAAAATGAGTTTTCTGGTTCCTATAAAATCTAAAAGAATATTCTATCCCGATTCTGAGGATTAGAGATTCTGCTTCTAAACCTCCCAACAAGAGCCCCCTGCATCGGATTTTTTCTATCAGAGGAGAAAAAACCTATCCAAAGCCGGCCAACCCGAGTTTAGTCAAATCCGAACTCGGATATATCCGGTTCGTGCAAGGCCCTACTCTTAACTTACTATACCTGAATCTTCGATTAAAAATAGATTCTTTTTTAAAAAAAAAAAATTAAAGCAAGAATGTTCAAGATAACCTCGAAATCCTTCCAACTCACGATTTTTATGGTGTTTTGTGAATTCTGGATATCTTCCATGAGAGCATCTTTTTCGGTTTCATTGGATGGATGGTCTAGGTCTTCGACGAGCACAATAGTTTTTAGATAGGGATTGTGGTGCTGAATGCAATTGTCTATAACTATGCGAGCACGTTTTATGGTATCGCAAACGACGATTTTGGCCTCGGCTTTGATGATTAAAGAAAGTTAATGATTGTTGCAAATCTCATATTTTAATTTTATTTTATAATCAGTAAATTTAAATTAAATTTTAAAAATTATAAATAAAAACACGATATTAATAAATCTTTAGTTTTTCGTTGACCAAAAAAATTTTTTTACTAAAATAAATTCTGTCAAATTTTTTGGCATATCTTAATAATTTACTTAAAACGCCATACCAAACTGTTAGGTCTTATTTATGAATGTGTAAATGAAGATAAGGGTGTAGTGAACTGAATATGCCCGCCAGTAAATTAGGAAGTTGGTGATTTGAAAAAGACATGAATGTTGGTATTGGAATGCGAAGGGTTACCTTAGAAGAATAATTTAAGGTGGTTTGAACGAAAAGCTACCAGGGATTGTGAGTGAAGAAGGCAAAATTCTATGAGAGTGGAGGGAGGGATTTTTATTGTAGCGATTATTGACATAGTAACGGTTTGAATTAAATATAAATAGGAATAAAACAATGTATCTGTATGAGACGAAATAAATCGGGATACATAGTGTACAACGATAGGCTTGTTGATAGAGAATATTAGGCTGCTCATCTAATTGAAAAAAGTAGCGAAGCTTAAACGATCAGGAAGCTTGAATTTTTAGAAGAATAAATTGGTGGAGAAATGAGAGTGCCAAAATAAATTGTGACGACTAGATTTACACGAATCCTTAAAAAGTTGCGGGATATAGAATATTATCAGAAAGCGCTGGAAAAGTTAAAGTTGATAACAAATCCATGTGAAAAGAAACGGCCCTTAAACCCTAAGTCTAGTGTCCGAATTGTTGCGACACGGAAATATAGTTTCTTTAAATGTCATTCAAAAAAATAAATCGCGAACAAGGATTTTTTTTTTAAAAAAAAATTTATATTAAATTCTGGTAAATTATTTTTTAAAAAAAAATCAACTTTGTAATAATATGTAATTGCAGGCATCGGGTCCGAGAGTATCGTACAACGCAACAAGTACCATTGAATACATGTAGCACCCGTGTTCCGCTAATACCCACTAAAAAAAATTTAAAAGATGGAATGTAAAAAAATATAAAGGCTTGATCAATTCAAAAAAAATTAATAAATAATTTTTAGAACCAATTTGGCGCGGTTCTTTGTAATACAACGAAATTTTAATTATACTTAAATTTACAAAACATAATATTTTGTTGGTGACAAACAAATATTATGTTATCATTTCTTTCTTTCCTTCCTTCATTCTAATCGCGAAAATATATTTTTGATATCAACCCAATAATAATACGTTGCGTATATAAAGATGACTACGTTATTTGTAAAATAAAATAGTAATTACTTCGAGTCGATTTATCGAATATATGGCAACGAAATTATTGGCTCCCGGCTTGAGACCGTAATTGATGAAGGCAGAGCCAATATGGTGAGCTCGTTCTATAAACTTTTTTTTGAAGTCAAAGAAAAGATTTTTATTTTTTTATTAAAAATACAATTCAAAAGATTTAAATCTAAAAGGGCTTAAAATTAAATTTTAAAAAAATGAAAACTTGTGAGTATTTGATCCAAGAATACGGTGAATTTGCATCCGTTCGCCATCCAAATATATTACCATCATCTATGAAGAAGAAGAAAAAATAATCCTTTCAGAAAAGATCACTAAAAAAATAGGATAAAAATTTGCCTTATTGTAAGATTATGCCCAAAGCTATTTATTTTTTGATTTTGTAAAATGAAAATGATCTGTCCTAGTTCACTTTATAAATCGCAACTTTTTCCAACGTAGTTAATGTAAATTGATGCTTTTTTAACGATTCGAGAAAAGCAATATTTTCTTTTAATATAAGGTGATTCAGAACAAAAAAAAATGATGTGCTGTTTGGAAACTCTTCTCATGTCTAAAGGAGTAAAAAAGGCTAGCTAAGAGTAGGGGTAGCATCTGATAGTTTTTCCAAAATGAGCATTTACATAATATCTTTTTTGATTAGTTCAAAGTTAAAGCGAATTCGTCAAAAATTTTATATACTTCGCCGCGGATTTGCGCTAACTATGAATTAGGGGTAAAGCATCATTGTTTAAATTAAAGTGGGTGTTGGTTAGTATGTGGAAAAAAAAATAAGATTAAAAATATTATAAATTTGCACGATAGTTGTCTTTTCAACGCAGCGTTTAGAGACGCTCAATTTTGAAGCACTTATAAAATAAAACTGCTATATTATTTAATATATATTTTTTTAATTACTTGATAATTGAAGTCCTTTTTTGGTTATTTTGTCCAAGGTTGTCAAATCCTCCGATGGAAACTCGACTAATTTGCCATCCTTGCAAAACAGGGATACGTGTTCGCCGGTCTCTTTCTAATTTGTTTTTTGAAAGATTAACCAAAGGAGTGAGGAGAAGGAGTGTGTGCGCAAATATTTCTAAAAAAAATCAGGGTTTCCAACAGGAAATCCATATTAAGATTTCCGAGAAGCGGCTTGATTTAAATCAAAATATTAAGCGATTTATTTTAAGAAGGTTTACTTAGTAATTAAAACCCTTTTTTTTATTACCTACAGATTTTGAAAAGTAAACAAACACCCGCAGAACTACAAGGTTTTAATCCCTAATTTAAAAGACTATACAAGTTTTATTTGTATAGTATCATAGTCATATAAGGACTTTAATTATAAAAGATATAATATCACAGAAAATTTTCTTACAGTGTAATAATGCTTACATTATTAGCCATAAAGCCATCGCATTACAATTGTTTTCGCAAAAGTTTAAAACTTTCGTTTCTTTCATCAATTAATATTGTTAAAATTAAAATGTCCCTTCCTACCTTTAAGGTAAAATTTAAGTAAAAATATAAGGAAATGCAAAAAAAGGAAATTAAATTAGGCCAATTTGAATTTGTTGCGATGGTGATATCGCAAATGATTTATTTAATTTATAAAAACAAAAACGTTTTTTAATTTTAAAAGATGGTTTCTCATTTCGGACTCATGGTAATAATATACGGTGAAAGAGGTTATTTTTTTAAAAAATTCGGCTCAATCTTCTTCTTCAGGCGTTTGCTGAAAATCCGTTAACAATTAAGGCATTTTAATTCCTCTCCAAATTTGAGCTGCTATCATTTTAATTAGCCGGCTAAAAATTAGCTTAAATGGCTAAAAACAAATTTAAAATTATACTAAATAAAATATTTATCTTTTGTATTTATTTAAAATGAAAATTATTGTCAAAAAAAATAAATAACTTAACTCGAACAAAAAATTAGAGACTTAGGCTGCATTCATAGTGAGAACCGAATCCGTTGCGATTCAACAGCTGATCAATTTTTTGATAATTATACAATTATTGATTTTAATAACGAAAAATTGATCTCACGTACATATTTAAAAAAAACCAATCAGCTGTTAAATCGTGACGGGTCGGATCCCACTATGAATGCGACCTTATAAAGGTACACATTTGAGTATATTACTAACAACTTATAAAATTGCTTAATTTGGCATAATAATTATTGTAAAAATAATCAAATTAAAAGCAGTTCTTGGAAATTTTAAAATAGACTTTTGGAAGAGAGTTCTGTTTCAATACCCGATTTTTGTTTCCTTTTTTGATATATATATATATATTCTTACATCGATCTCCCTGGATTGTTTGGCTATGTCTAAAAGAGGTTTGCAAGACTTTGGCATGTGAGACCAATACCAGGCCGTCGCGCCAGCGATAGTACTAACCCCTATGGCTCCAAAGGTGCCAGCGATGATCGTCAACATGTTATTGTGGTAATCCAACATCGTGATTCGTCAATTCAAAAATACTGATTGGGGAAGGGGGGAAACAACTAATATCTATCGATTATTGATTTAATAGTTTTATTGTGTATGTATAGTTATCGATTTGGTCGAAATTTTAAAAATGAAATAGGATTTAAAGAATTGTGGTATTATTAACGAAGAATTTATAGTTTAACCAATTAGAGAGGTTTCATCAAATTTAAGATTATTCGTTATTACAAAAATATTTTTTATATATTTTGACCTGGTTAGTTTTTAAGTGGCCTCCTTATTTAATTCGTATACTATATTGTAAAGATGCATTTTTTTTAAATATATAATTATTCAAATTTTGGTTTCTTTCTTTCTATCTTTGGAGTTCAAATATATTTCACTTTAGTAGCTATAGATCAGAGCCCGGCTCAGAGCACGTAAAATAATCTAACTTTCAAAAATCCGGGATGGCCTAAAAAAAATTTACAAAAGTTCTCATCGGTGTCGGGTTTAATTTATAAAAAAATTTTAAATTATGTAAATAATAGATGTAGTTATCCCAGATTTTCTTTAAAAAAATCTGTGCCTGGCTGGTTAGATGAAAATGGGTAAAAATTCGATCTTCGCGGGTCTCAAATAAATATTGGTGTTGGTTGAAAAAAAGAAGAAATAAATTTAATATAATATATCAAATGTCAGTTATTTTATGACATGAACAATTAATTTTCCTTATGGGGAAGAAGGGAGAATGGGAGATCAGGAGAAGAGGCCAGCTGGTGAAGAACAAAGAATAGTGGGATTTGAACTATTTTTATGAATATGAAACATTTACAAATTATTTTGATGTGAACATAAATAAAATATGGTATAACATGAAATTAAACAATGTGGTTGTCCCAGTTGGTAATGTTTATTGTTGGGTTTATTTAATTATTAGAAAAGGATTGTTTGGGATTGATAAGTTATATATTTTAAAGGGAAGGGTTGAGAGTAAGGGGCATTCTTCTATAATAAGTAAACATAAAAACAGATGTGCATTCGGTAACCAACGATATCGTTATCAGTCATTCAAATTGGCTAAAGGGGGAGGGGGCAGATCGATGCACCGGATATAAAAATAAATGAATAAGGTATTTTTTGGTTTATTTACAATCAATTTATTTATTGTTTTTCAAAAAGCTATTTATTTTTTTTATTGATTTTTACAAATGAAAATATGATATGTAATAAGTTTCGTGGCAAATTTTCAGGGTTTTTTTGCACATCTTTTCAAATATTAGTAATCTATTATAGCATTAATTAAAATCGATTTTAAAGTTCAAATAAAAAAAATAGATTTATATATAATTTTTTTTTCAAAGTTAGATTTCATTTTTGTTTTTAAAATATCGGGCTAATTTGTTACCCCTTATAGTTGGATAATTTTCCATTTTTCACCGTTTTAACGTTATTTTTTATAAGTCTAAATTGAGGGTTTCGCAAACTATCACCACTCTCGGCAGTATTTTTGTTTGTTTGAAGAAATAGCTAAACTTATGGAAGAAGGCGGAAACGAATTACACAATGGGGCTTAGTATTTTCTTCAGCGAGTGCGTGCGTATAGAGTTGAATTAGGCAAGGATATCCAGCTATAGTATAGCTATTATACCCCATATCATCTAACTCGAGTATTCACCTCACGATACCTCTCAGGGGGTTAATTAAAGAACGTACCAATTTTTTTTAAAAAATATATCGGGTAGGTCCTATATTTCAATTTCATTGGCCTACATTTTTTAAATAGACCGATTCAATTAAATGTAAATAATATTTAAAAAGTATGGATGTGTCCTAAATACGAAAAATAACAATGATACAAAACACTTAAATCAAACCAAAATAGGGTATCCGTTCAACAGCTGTTTAGCCCAAGCTAAACTAGAAATAAGATCAAAAATAAGTCGAACAGCCAGGACATTGCGTATATACATCTAAGAATTATATATTTTTAAAAATATTTTATTAACTTTTATAATTGATATTATTTTCATTTCATAATATTTTTAGATTTTAGCCCGAGGAAAATCTGTATCGCTACGCTTGTGGCTTAGAGTAATATAGTAGTTATCATTATAAAGAAAGACAATAATTGAAAAAAAAATCAATAAATTTAAGGTTACATTTTTGAACACATAAATAAAACACACACGTGTAAATTTTAATTATAAGAAAACTAAAACTTCAAAATATTTTAACAAATTTTGTCTATTGGTATGGGATACATGCCGTTTGTTAGAAAAATAAACAAAACCGTCTAAGAGTCCGACTAAATAATGTTTTCTCTTCCTATCTACCAAATTCAAAGGATGATTAGAATTACTAAGGGATTAGGAAAAACAAAGCTATTTCGGGCTAAGAAAAATTTTTTGTTTTGGAGTCGGGCCAATCCAATATCTCTCATTATTTTTTTTTGTATCTCCAATATTAAGTGTTGTGAATAACCTGATATTTTCGCCAAAAATATAAGGCAAGCCTAGAGATTTCGTTAATATATGCCCAAACTTTTCTGCCATTTATAAGCAGAATCTCCAGGCTTGAATATTTTTTGGCCAAAATATTGGGTCAACTATTTTAGACAAAAATTGAGCCGTTTAACAACATTATCCAATATCAAGATTAATACTTTCTTTTTTTATAGGAAAACTTGTATATTTTTTTCTTCGGGTTAAGAAAATTATAAATTTATTTCAGAAACTTGCTAATATAGAAACTTTAGGCCAAGTTCCGGATTTGTAAAAAAAAACTTATTTCCAACCTCGGCCCTTTTTTTGAAAAAATTTCCCGGTCCGTATTTTAATCTTTGATCCTTTTAAGGAATGGCCTTTGATTCTGGAACTCATGTGTCCATACTTAATAATATTTTCTTTAAAAAGGAGTTTGAAAAAGGATAACTATACCTTCTCGCAATTAATCACTTAACAAGAGGCAACACATTACAAACACTATAATATATGTGAATGTAAGTTATTTCGAATAATTGTGGCAGTATTGTGCCCAATTAAGGGAAATTGTAAATATGAACAGTAGTTAATGTGCGAGTAAAACGCTTCTAATATAATGATTTCCTAGCTGATTAGTTAATATTATCTTTTTTTTAAAAAATTTCTTAATTTAAATTGCTCCCGATTTATGAGCTGAGCATGCACCAATGACATATAATAAATAATACCTAGACTGACGATGTAATGAAAACAGCTGAGGACGCCATTTAAATTACCCATATCATTATTAAAATTTTTAAACGAGAGGCCAATTTATTCCTAAGTCTGGCGCAAATTTTATTAAAGAATTGCCTGATCATCAAGATAATAAGGAAGCAAGTTATCAATCTTATAGTAGTTTTTAACATGAGATGAATTACTATATGGGTTACAAAAATGACGGGTCCAGATAGTTTGCATTCAACGACGCTTCCAAATGAAATATTATGAATGCATCGTCAGTCTAGGTATCATTACGTGTCATTGGCTTGCACTCTGACGTATTTTAACGTATATGAATACAATTAAAGGGGCGTGAAGGAGGAAGGAAATCAAAATGTTTTTGCCCAATTAGACTAAATTTCATTAGCCGAGGGGAACGCATGAGGGATGATATTCATTCCACTCCTCATTATTTTTTATGTCCAAGAAAAAAAATGTTGTTCCGGCTTCATTCGCAAGCAAAATATTTTGGCATCGCATAATACATAATTTTTACGAAGAAAATAAAACAAAAATTTGAATAACATTTATGAATAATTTTAATTTTAACTTGACTGGCTGAGAAGCCGTTTAGTTTAGGATTAGTGTGGGCGCCATATTGCGATAATCCGTGACATTAAAACTAGAAAACCAAACGATTATTTAGTGAAGAAAAAAAAATATATAAATATGGTTTAACATGCCAAATTTTTTATTTTTTTAAATTAAATTAAAAATATTTTCAAAAAAAAAGTGTGTCAAAATTTATTTTTTATCGATTTTAAAGGGGGAAAATAGGAGGGGGGGGGAGATAACAATAATATCTTTTTAAATATTATATTATTGTCGTTTACTATTTATCATCATCATCTAACCCTCTTATTTAATTTAAAAAAAAATTAAACTTTCAGAAGTTTTAAAATTTTAATTTAAAATAGATGCTAAATTTTTGAAATTTAAAATAAAAAAATCAGAATTATGTTTTACTATATCATTAAAACTTTTTATGAAAGAGGTCGATAAAGCCCGGCCAAAGGACAAAACGACTTTAGGTCGGACCAGTCCACGTTAACCTTTTGAAATATGAATAATGGAATTTTGTAAAAAAACCATAAATAAACTAGAAGTATGCCGGATCCAGATAGCAGACAAGCGATACAGTATTGCCTTTACCCGGAGCAGCCCAGAAGAACAACAATATGAACTTATTTATTATCTCGCCTTAGTATCGCGATACAATCGATACCTGATACTGATAAATTCACTTTAAATATTTCTTGTTTTCTTTAATGATTCATCTCTCCATTATATATATTCTATATTTATTTAAATTTATTCTTACGTTAATTATGAAACAAAAAATTATATGAAATTTTAATTCATGGCATAATTTTTCTGATATTCATCTCACTCCATGCTCTATAAAAATCAGAGATCTGAAAGCCCCGCCCGTTAAATATAACCATGCCAAGATGGGCCAAAAAAAAATTTTTAAATACCCGAGCCGCGCATAAAAAAAATCCGGCCCGAACTGGATCTGAAAATATAAAATCCGGGTTGGGTCTAAAAAATTGCATTTTTTTATAGTGGGCTAAATAGCAACTTGGTAAGAAAAAAAAGGGTATGGATTTAAAGAAAGATAATAGGGAAAATAATAAAATTATTTTTAGGAGAAAAAAAAAGAAAAACATAAAATTAAAAGGAAAGGTCGCAAAAAAGTTAGAAACGAGGAAAAAAAAATAAGAAAGAAAATTTTTTTTAAAAAATCCAAAAAATATATGATATTTCAGAATTATTAAAATGTCAACAAAAAAAATGTTGTTAATCGGTCGCATATGTGTTTTTACGAGTCTTTAAAAAAAGAATTTAAGAAATTTTAGTTATTTATAATTTATAGCAAGTATAAATAATTGTCAATGTGTTTAATTACAAAAAAACCATTCATAATATTTAAAAAAAGTTAATTTAAAATATTTACATGTTTTTGTTTTGATTTTGTATCCACAATTTACAGAGGGCAAAACGTTTTTATCATTGTAAATGATATTTAATTGTTTAGAAAGCATATGCATTGGAATTGGAACTTGTATAGGCCATATTTTTTTTATAATTTCTTGTTATTTTGATTTTTGACAAATAAAATATATTTTTTTCCTCACTTCTTCGCTTTTTACATCAAAAAAAGAATGATTATTAGCAATTTTTTGTTTTGTTTTGTGTGATGCTAATAAGAGGTGCTTAAAAAAATTTTTTAAGGTTTTTAGCACTCCCTCCCCTATAATCTTACTATTTTAATGGTATAATCAAATTATAATAGATCTATGCCCCTGTTGAAATAGTATAATTGTAAAAATCGAGCATATTTGGATCAAAAATATTTTTAAATTAATCAGTTACAAAAATTCATATAATAATGGGATCGTTTAATTACAATGTCTCTTTGAAACAATTTGGCATAACACAGCTAAAAAAAGTACATTTTAAATAGCTAGATCGATAAATAATTAAAATTTAAAAATTCGGGTTTGATTAAGATTCCCATTTTTAGCTCAAAAAATGCGTTCGATTCCTATCTGCTATTAAAATTGGAGTGGGGAAAGGGGACACGAAAAATTGATTCCGCCGAGATTCGAACCAAAAACCTCTCACTTTACTCAATAACGCTCATACCTCTCACCTCTCTATTTGCTATTTTTTTTGGCAATTATTAATAATTTAACCAAACGATAAATAATTTTTTTGCATTTATAATATATCTTAGTTGTTCTCTTTAGTAGTTTCAAACTCGAAATAACATTACTAGGCTTAAATAAAGTAAGAAAAATATATGGCTTAGCGGGCGGGATTAAGATTTTGACGTCTGCAGGGCTGCAGGTCTTTGAAGAATATTTCGTAAGTTTATTAATGTTTTATTTTATATAATTATTGTTTAGATATTCATCATATCATTAAAATTATGTTTTACAATTATAATAAATTAAATATTTTAGGTACATTTATATTTATCATCGGGATCAACTATCTTCGTTAAAAATTTTAATTTATTGGTTTAAATTATTTTATTAAAACGTTGCAAGTATTTGGTAAATTTTTATTACCATCTTTATTAAAAATATTAGATTAATTATTTTCAGCTAAATAATATTGATGCTTGCGTGAATCTGAGCCAGTCTCAAAATTATGGGATATTTTACTTTAATTAGCTCTTCCACCAGTAAACATAATATATAAGATATCAATAAAGGTTAATTATTGGTTTCGACCCATCCTTTGGTCGTGGTAAACGACCCAAATTTAGTTTTAACTTTGGGTTGGGAATGAAGAGAGGACCAATATTTTAGGTCAAAGAAATAGACCTCAACATTGGGTCAAAATCGGAAAAAAAGGTCCACACTTTGAGTCGAAGTCGATTACAACGACTTAAAATTTGAACCTTTGTTGAAAAAATCGACCCAGCTATTGGGTCGACGTCAAATAAAATGGCCAGGATTTTGGGGTCGGTTTTGTTCGAGCCAACGCTTAGCCGTTTAACAGTATTTACAGCCTACTGGAAATAAACCGTTAAAACATACTTTTTTAATGATATTAATTTAAAAAATAATCAAACCAATAAAAATAATTTAATCAATAATTATTAAAAAATCAATCTGTATTTTTTATTTATTTAACATTTAAATTTGGGCCGGACTTTTCGGGATAAATAGATAAAAAAATTCGTTCGGGGTCGGGTCGGCGGGTTCGGTATATTAGGTCCGATGCAGATCGCTGATTCAAACTGCGATTCCGGAATTTTTTTTCATGGTGAAAATCAATTAATGCCCCGAAACTGTTTAATTTTAGTTTTGATACATTGTTATGTTGATCAATAATTATTTTATTGATAAAAATTAGATATTTTATATTTTGTTTTATTGTATCAGAGAAAGAAAAAAATGTCAATGTCAATAATGAGTTTGAAAAAAAAATTGAATTTTATTTTATTTGGCAAGAAGGACTGAATTAAAACTGAAATGTTGTCTTTAGAAAAAAAAATAAAGATTTATATAAATAGTATCATTTTATTGAGAATTTGTAGTTTGCATGAACAAATACTTCCCCTTTTCGGTAAATCAAACAAGAGTATAAAAGAAATATTTTTTTTTATAAAAAACATCAAAATTTTGGAAGACAGGAAGGTGAAAATGCATCATTGATTTATTTATTTCACATATCAAATAATTATAATATAAGAATGGAATGTGTAATCAATTGATTGAATTTTAAATAAATAAATCATGGCAAGGTTATTATTTGAATTGGGTAGATATAATCCAATCATTGTCCAAATTTTTAAAATTTAAGACATAAGAAAAACCTGATTTTAAAAAATAATTAAATTAATGGAAGAATACATTTTTTTAGATAGCTAAACATGGTGGCTAGATTTTAAAAAAATTGCCACTGGACCAGTGGGAATTTGGGCGAAAAAATTTCGATTTTGTAGACACAAATCAACAAATGAAGAGTATAAATGTTCAAAAATGGTTTAAATTATTTTATATATAAAAATCCAACAAAATGGATTTATAGATGTAATTAAAATTGATATTAAAATGATGTATTTTGAACTATTTTTTGAACGAGTTTATTACTAAAATATTCAATAGAAGCCTCTAATATAAATATGGTATCAAAATATCAGCAACATTTAAAAATAAAAATTATTATATGTAGTTTATTTTTTTAAAGCATTTAATACAACTCCTCATTTTCTTTTCTTTTTTATTATGTTGAGCAATAAAATTTTAGGAAAATTAAATTAATCCTTTTCTTACATCTTTCTTATCAGTCAAGTATTTTAAAATTAATTAATGGCTAAATGTAACTGTTTTTAATTTATGAGGGTTAATTATCATTTTAGGATATCGTCCAATATTAGTTAAATTTTAAAGTATTGGTTAATATGTATACTCTAGCATCTCTGATATTGAGATGTTGAAAATGTGATGAATGAGTAATATTTACTCTTTAAAATTTTCTGATTTTTAGATAAATTTTAATTCTATTTAAAAATAAATATCATTGAGCAAATAAGAATAAATTGTTATAAAATTTATATAAAATAAAATTCATGTGGCATGAATCAAATGAATGCGTATTGGAAACATGTTAATTTTTTAAAGTGGGCATTAAATGTGTAAGACTATGTTAAATATAAAACTTTAAACATTCTCCCAAAATAAAGCAAATATGTTGAAATTAGATAAAGGTGTAATTGTTATATGCTTTTTAATAAAAATTATCACCAAATTAAAACACCGATATAAGATATTTCAAATCGAAAAATATATTGTAACGAATAATAATATACTTATAAATTATTGAGGAATATTTCAAGAAAATTTATAATCATATTAAAAAATGAGTGAATACGTTTAAATGCCTCCAATTTTATGAACGAATGATTTTTACAAAAATTTAGCAGCAATAAGAAAAAAAATATAAATGCATAATAAATTATAAATTTATTCTTGCTTCAAGATATTCATATTTAAAAAATTTGTAAGAGCTAACTTTATAGGTATTTTTTAGTATTTTCAAGTTCAAATCATTTATAATTTAAATTATAATATTATTATTTATATAAAAGACTTCAACTTGATAGAATAATCTTAATATTATTATTTTAGTCAATAAATTTACAATTTTATATAATTAAAAAAATTGATATGTCAGTGTAGGTATGTTTTGCTTTATATATTAGATAAATTGTAAAATACATCATATCATCTGAAATGTATTATTGAGAATCCCATAAAACATATAAGTATATTTATTTGCTTTTTAAAATATCTTTTTAGGCTAATAACCCCTCCCTACTTACGAAAAATGTATATAAACAAACATTTAAAACAAAAATAAGTGAAAGCTGACTATTTTTTTAAAAAATAACAATGATTCAAAATTTTCAGAAAAAATGACATTTTAATTTTTAAAAGGTTAAAAATCATATCAATATTTTTCTAATTTAACCCTGCAATTGTAATTGGCCTAAGGAAATTTATTAGGAAAAAGACCCATCCAGTAATGCGTCCATCCGTGTGTTATTAAATTTTTAAAACCAGCTAACCCAATATTTTGGCCAAACAATATTATGCAAGCCTCGAGAATTCGTTAGTGGAAGATATATTTGCTATCTATGAGAAAAATCTCCGGTTGCATAAAATTTTTGGGCTAAAATATTTGGTTAGCCGTTTTAATAATCGAGCCGTTTAATAATTATTCCATCCTCACATCTCACCCTCATGCTGCTCTTAGGTATACTATAGTATAAATGTGTATACGTCGTTGGGGGAGGGGGGATTGGAAATTTTGTGGCCCTCTTATATACTATTTTAAGGTATAAATATATACAACTCTTCCACAAAAAAATATATACAATATATCACTTTATACAATAATTTTAATAAAAATAAGAAAAAGTAATAATTTTTATAATTCATAATCAGGGTTGGGCAAATTTTCAGAAAATTGTATTCGGATACAGAAACAGATACTTTATAAAATTTTGTATTTAAGATACAAGATACTGGATGATACTTTAGAAAAATTTCAATAAGATATAAGATACAAGATACTTGTATCTTTTTTTTAAAAAAGTATCTAAGATACTAGATATTTTTTATAAAAACTTTAAATAGTCAAAATCGAAATGTATAAAGCTTTATTTTTTTATATATAATATAAATTTATAAAAAATTTGAAAATAAATTGTAGAAAATAACAAATTTATTATATAAGATAGTGCGATATTTTTTTACTAATTGTATAATTAATAAATATTAATACATCAGCATCATAAATCAGCATTATTTTTTAATATTATTAATATAATTTATCATTCAATCTTTGACGATTTGGTCTAGAGGTAGGCGCGGGTGGTGAAATTACGCGTGACCCATCGAGTCACGGTGTGAGTGTGAAAAGTTTTTAAATTATTAGGCGTGACTGGGCGTGACGGGCCTTCCCAAAATTTTTCCTGGGCATGATCGGGCGTTAACATGAATTTCCCGTGAATCACGGAAATTTTAATTTTCTTTTATAAATATAAATTTGCAATTTTATAATTATAATACATATTTTCTAATTTAATTTATTTAAAAAAGAAAAATTTTTGAAAACAGAAAATATTCAGGCATTTTATAAACAATATCTAGTGGCACGCTTCTAGTCTATTTTCTTTTTATGTTTAGGTGTTTAGTCGCGAGATTTTTTACTTAAATTTTTTAATTTATTCTCAAGCACTTAAGGTAGGTTTAATTCTAGATCCTAATTTCAAAAGCCTTAAGTTATAAACAGACAAAGAAAAAAAAGATATTTACAAAACAATCTTAAAAATGTGAAATGATATAAAATTAGATGATATGCATAAGTCAATGCCAACTGTCATTTATAACTTTCCTAATTCATCCTACATTCATAAAAAATCATATATTCTAAATGAATCATTTTTTAGATGATTCTGATGAAGCATCAACATCTACCGATGAAAGCTGTGTGAATTTAAGAGATTCATCCCATAAAACAAATAACAATGGCAATATTTTGAAGTTTTGGAAGCAGGAAAATTTATTTCTTTTTTTGACAAAATTATAGAGTAAAATTTTGTCAGCCCTGGCAAATTCGGCTACTAGCGAAAGGTTATTTTCTGTAGCCAATTGCCTATTAGAAGTAAGGCGTACACAATTGAAATAAAAAAAATGGACATTTTTTTTTCTAAGTAAGAATTTGGATTTATATGTATTTATTTTTTGTTATTATGGATTATGGAATTAATAAATAGAATAAATTCAAAAAAGTGTAAAAAATTATAGCATTAAAGTTTTGAAAAATTTAAAAACACCGTGAATTTTCGGGCATGAATCAAATATTGCCTTTCGTGAGTGGGCGGGTCGAGTCGAAATTTTTTTAGTGGTATGCGTGAATGGGCTTGAATATTTTTTATTGCCACCATGAGCGGGCGAGTCGTGAATAAAAAATTAGGCCCACCCACCTCTTATGGTCTATTAACCATATTAGCAAAGCTAAATAATCGTTCAACGGGGGCAGAGGAGGGTAATATTGTGTTTTATTTAATAAATATTTCTTTTAATTAATTTTATAATGAAAATTATATTTTAAGCATATATGTAAAAATTAAAAAAAATACATATGAATGGTGGATTAAATATTGCTAAGTACTATCTATCATATAAAAATGGTGCCCCAAATATTTGGATTATATTTTGGCCTAGTATTCAAATTAACAACCTCTTTTTATCAATATTAGTTTTCTTATTCTTTTCATAGATGATTTTTATATATCATTTTAGTTTCATTTTCAATCAATAATATAAAAATTTATTTTAAAATACTTCTAAATTTAGCAAAAGATATATGAAATTTGAAATGATAATGAATATGATTATAAATGTGATTTATTATATAATTATATATTATACTTTTAGATGCTTGAAAAAATTTGATGACGAGTCCGCAGAACCACTTATAGATTTGTGGCATTCTTTACATTTTGCAGTAATTTTATTATGATCATGTTGAAGTACTTGAAAAAATTTCCCAGTTAAAATACTTAATTTAAATTTATAGTTATATTTTTTGTTGAAAAGAATCATCTGAAGACGAAGACATATTATTCAATTTTCTTCTTCCATTATTTTAAAATAGACGGTTAAAAAACGATTCAAATGAAATATAGTAGTTCTAATTGTTAGAAAATTGCTATATGACGACCAACGTCATATATCATACATTATCTTAAAATATCTAAATTCTGATTAAATTTTTCATTTAAATTTTAAAACAATATCATTTTAAATTTTAATACTATTTAAATTAACTAATATAATTATTTTTTTAAAGTATCTGTATCTTTTTGAATACAAAGTTGGTTAAGATACAAATACTTTTAAATAATATGTATCTTAGATACTGGATACCAGATACTTTCCAAAATTTAAAATATATCTTGTATCTTAGATACAAATATCCGCGATACTGCCCAACCCTGTTCATAATTTATTTAAAAATTGAAATTTTGCTATAGAAAGATTGAAAACTCAAAATAAAAAATATAAGGCTTTCAATATCAAAACTTAAAAACTTTCAGAAAAATTTATGGGAAAAAACAATCTAATAGTGCTCTCTCTCTTCCCCATCTTGAGCAAAATCCTACTACGCTGAAAATCAATATGGTAAATTAATTTTTCCAGTAATCTTTTAGGGAGAGTTTAATAGACTCTTCAAAATAAATTGCCAAGACTTTTAATCTCTAAAGATTGTTTAAATATAAATTTTTTAAGAGTGCTTAAACAGAATTTTTGATCCAATTTTACATAAAATTCCAAATTTGAAAAAATACCTTTCATATGAAAATACTGATTAATATGCATAAAAGTTTTTAGTGATAAAATAATTTTTTTAAAAAAAATGTGATCTCCTTTAGAAAAATCTTCAATATTGTAATCTTCAAAGATTTTTTGCGCAAAATTTTTGGGCGACTGCCACATAAGGCAAAAAAGGCTATATATTATCAAAAACTACATTGGTGTATTTTTTGAAAGAATGATTCACAAGGACGCGTCTACTCTAAAATTTAAGTTTAGTCTAGACCGGTCGAAATACAATCCAAGAAATAAATCCGAAAAATGGTTAAAACACAGAACAGAACTCCCTCATTTACTATTAATATAATTGCCGTCTAAAATTTTTTATAACATAATTAGTTTTATATAATTTTTATATAGTACATCATATTTCACTATACTCAACACAGGTCCAATATATAAAATCCTTCCAATTTATTTTCTTGATTTAATAATTAGAGCTTTATGATTATAGCCTATTTTTTTTAAAAAAAAATTTTTAAGCAGGTCGTCGACATAGAAGTAATTTATATTGAAAAAATGTCATATCAATCTAGCAATTTTATATTTAAAATCAAATTGCCCAAATTAGGTAAAATTTGTTCCTAACAAACACAATGGAATATGCATCACCGGGAAAAAATAGGGTGCATGTAATCCAATATTTAAAAATCTCATCCTTTAATATTTATTTATCTACCCAAGGTATAAATCCAAATAGAAATGTCGGGACTATTTTGTTTTTAGCTTATACAGGGCTATTAGCCATAATTCATACCAAAAGCATGTGCATAGATTAAAATTAAGACAAAGAAAAAGTAATATATTATATTTCGCATTTTTTTAAAAAATAACATTTCTAGATATTAAGCCATACTGGGCCAATTAGTAAATATAAAAAATTAAATAATATTCAGAGCCCCGCAGTTATTTCTTTCTTTTACAACAATAAATTATATCAAGTTAAAAATTTTATAAGAAAAAGTTATCAAATGAAAATCATATTAATTCCCCTACATTTGGAGAGAATT